TGAGCAAACTGCCTCAGCCTCCTCTTTGTATTGTGAACTCCAAGGCCTCAACTGTCTTCCTGGCCCCTCACTAGACTTGGTCCAATATGTCAGTATCTTTCTTTTACTGGGGAGTCCAAAACTGAACATCACTCCAGATGCAGTCAGAGAAGTGTCTAATGGTGAGGAATGATCATGTCCTTTGACTTGCTGGCTACAATTTTACCGGTACATCTCAGTATGCAGATGGTCTTCATCTCTGCTGACAAATGCTCAACTTATTGTCTACCAGAATGACTAGATTATCTTTTCCAAAGCTGCTTTTTATCCTGTCAGCCCTCTATACAGATCCATGGAGTTATTCTGTCACAGGTACAGGACTTTGCAGTTTTCTTTACTGAACTTTGTGAGATTTCTTTCAGGCCCTTTCTTTAGCCTCTTTAGATCCCTCTGAATGGCTTCCCTCCAGCATATTGACTTCCTGTTTTGAGGTCATTCATGAACCTCATCGTCTGGGATGTTAATCAAGACGTTATTGGGCCTAGAATGAAGCCTTAAGGAATGTTCCTTGTAACCAGATGCCTCTTGAATATTGTACTGCTGGTCACTACTCTTTCAGTCTGGCCACTTTTTAATATCCAGTCGTATTTTCATGACCTAGATGTCCAGTGTACTTCACACTTCTGATCTGAAAATCTTGGAGTTAGGATTTTGTGGAGTTTAGGCTGAGATCCTCCAAAGCTCTCACATAATAACAAAAAATATGCATATATGAATAGCAGCCCCAAAACAGAATAAACCCATTTTACACCATATGGAGATATGGTGTAATTCTAATGAATGGCCATGCAGGGTGGGGATGGGTGAATTAAAGAGGAAAAAGTGTTTTATTTGTATTTCTGCCATAATACGCTATGCATCACAACTGTAATTTTCTTTGCATTAGCAATGATAAAGTTGTCACTGCTTTTATTACACTGAAAATTAGTGTCTGATTTTTCTTTATTTGTGCAAAACTTTTTCAAAAGTGGTTAGCGGAAGTACTTCCTATAACACTCTATAACATTGAGCTGTTTTCTGCGTAGCAACTGTTTACAGCATTTGAACTTCCTTGCTTATTTTGATGTAGTAAGTAGCAATATTTATAGAGTATATGTCAATGGTGGATTTAATTTTTTTTATTTATTTTGCAGTTTGACCATGTACATTTTTGCAGTTTTTCAGTCTACATAGTTTTAACCACAGATTTGTTAAAATCAGGCCAGAGAAACACAACAACAAATTACCTTAAGACCAGGAACCAAGGGACTAAGGGAGATTGTCTTCTACCCTTAATATGCAATGTAAGCACAGCAGTGGTATAATATCTTTTCAGTTACAAAGGTTCACACTCTAGTTTTTTGTTGTTTTTTTTTTTTTTGGGTTTATTAAATTCTGGTATAGGAAGAAAAGTAGAAAGTTGAATTTCCAGCACTAATATGATTTTTATTCTTTATTATAAAAGTTTCCCCTTTTGTTTTTTTTTTTTTTTTTTTTTTTTTTTTTTTTTTTTTTTTAACAGTGTGCAACTGTTCACTCCCTGCAGGGATGTATTGGCTAAATACTTTATTTAAAACTAACCCATTTTATGGAGACTTTTCAAGTTAATTAGGAAAACAACAACAAGATACAGACTCTACTATTTTTAAAGCACTAGTACTTAAAAAAGGAAGTATATCTGTGCTGTATTATTTATTAAATTATATTTTATGATTTTTCGGTGTGAACAAATCAGAATCGACTGTTTTGCCAATACTAATTCCCTACTGGAACATCTCACAGTGCAGTCTCTTCCAGGGACAGGTCCAGTTCCTTAGGGAAGTAAATAACTCAATGATTTACTGATAAAGCCACCCAGTATATATATATCATCCATGTCTCATACATCACTGTCACAGGCAACAGCTTGCCTTGCTAAGTGATTCTGTGTTGCTCTTTTTGGAATTCTTTCTACTGTAACCAGTTAATCCTACAAAACCCACATAATTTTGCTCAAGCTTGTATGAGTGGATTCAGTTTTGAAATGTAATTCTATAAACTTGAATACAATGGTTTTCTTTGTGAATTTATAGATGGCTTATGACTGAAAAAAATGTTGGTAGCTGTCAGTAATTGTGCTGTGGATTCTCCTCATGCATTTTAGGATGATTCTCCAAATCCCTTAGAATCTTCAAAGGTTTCTGCTCTGCTCCAAATTCGAGGAGTACCACTTACATTTTAAAGATTAGGTATAAAGCATGAATAATCTAAGGCTATATCTAAACTTCTGAATAAAAGTCAGGGATTTCAAACACATAAGATGTGCCAGTTTTGAGACTACCCTTTTGAAAAACTCCATGTGCTAGCTAGAGATGCTTGCCACCTTGTCAATAGCTCTTGCAGCAAAAGTTATGATCAAGTTCAGAGAGATTTACAGATTATTTATAGTTCAGAATTGCTTCAAAGAAATGTTGCCCTGAATTTGAGAGGGACTACAATTGCTGATCTCAGCAATAAGACTTGGATTCACATTACCTGAAGGCACTACATGGACCTACAGCAAGAACACCCTAATCAAAATCCAGGATCTGAGTCTACTTTTCTTGAATTCTGCTCTCTGACAAAAACAAGGATGAAGTCATAATGTTTTCTACTTACCAAAATTCATTCAGTGTTGTTATTTAATTGCATCCAAGAATGGTAGCGTGGCTGTATCCCACCTAACGCCAGGTATTCCTTTAAAACGCCTGAACTGAGAGTGTAGTCAGAGGCTTCTTATACTGTCAGAGGGGAGATGAGGCCCTCCAGGAGGCAATTCAGATCATCTGAGTAGAGGCTCAGTCCTGGCTTGTGGCTATGGCCTTCTAAACTCAGGAGCACTGAGATAAATGCCTCTCCAAGACTTACACACTCTCATCTCCACTGGGAACAGGAGTATCTGGATTGCCTGAGCCAATTTGGATTTGTTTTTACATCCCTGAGGGACAGTTTTGGTAATCTAGGAGAGATGGTGCAAAGGGCAGTTCAGGCCCTGAGTCTTTTCAATTAAACACATCAAGCATACTAAATAATGTGTGTTGTTTTTATCTGAGTTTCCCTCTTGTTATCCTCATATAGCATTGCTTACAACTTGAAGAGGGAAAGATTTACTTTTATACTACAGTAGATCCTTTATGCTGCCTCCCCCATCCCTTGAGGAACCCCCCTAACAAAAAACTGCTTGACAGTTCTCCTAAGCTGCCTAAATCCTAGGGATACCCTATTTCTTTGACACCGAGGGTTTTGGCACCTCTGTCTATCCTTACATTTCTGAGGCATAAAAAATAAGAGAAGGCTAGGAGACCAGGCTGAGTGCAGTGCCCCAGTTGTCCACCCCGTTGAAATACTGGCATGTTCCCTGGACCCATTTTGGACCCATGGGGTAAGGTGTCCCCAGACATGTCTTTTCGAAGATCCTAGTTCTGAGCACTGTGGGCTGGAGTCAGTTGGTGCCATTTGACCTTGGACCAGGGATTGCTTGATGGCCTCTTTTTTTTTTTTTTTTGCTTCCTTTTGACCACAAAACATTCCACATTCCACATGAAATTCAAGGTTCTGCCCCTGCTTCCAGTCCTGATAAGTATGTTCAAAATGGAAACACTTTATCCACACCTGCATCAATGCGTTTGCTTTATTGGGGGGATATTTAGCATGTAACTGACCTCACATGAGCTGTTCTGGCTAAAAGCCTCCTCTGGGGTTGGTTGGACCAGGTAGACCTTGAGTAGAGTAACATCCCCATGAAGGTAGTGTCATCAGAAAGGAAAAAAGAGGATATTTGGTGGAGAATATATTTGTCCTTAGGTTGGCATTTTACCTGCTTATAAGATATCTAGTTTTATTATTATTTTAAAGATAATCAGCTAAAAAGCCATGATTGTTACATTATGGTAGACATTTTTTGAGTGTACGTTGAGTGCTGAAGGTTGTTGTTAAACTGTTTGGGACCCATTTGTGGTGCCTTCTCTTGTGCAGGATCACTTTCTCCACAGATGGTTTTGCTGACATCAGAATGAAATAAGGTAAAAGTGAGAGCAAATAACACAACAGTATTTGGCTCCGGTCAGAAACTTTTGCTTTTACAGACTCTGCTCTCTAAAACCATTGATAGCTCTAAATCAACAACAACAGAAAAAAAAAAGGGAGCAAAACAGATTTGTTGCTGTGTTGAAGATTACATAGAGCAAGTAGTAAACCCTGAAGGGATGCTTCCCCTTTGATTGACTGATAGATAAGGAGAGAGCTTTCAGTCTTCATTAAAAAAAAAAAAAAAAAGAAAATGTAAAAAGCCCCAGACAGTTTCAACTGAGTGGGTGAGTATAGCTTGGTGTTAGATGTAAGCTGATACTGGAAATGTATTTGGAAGGACAAACAGAAGGGCACATCTCTTCAAATAGAAAGGGGAGCTAAAGTTGGTGGTTTTTTAAATGATATTTTAAAACCAGAATCTAGAGACACTTGAAAAATATATTTGTAGTTTGGGCTCATGTAAATTCTATTTTTAAATATCTCTGAAAATATATTTTATTCTAGGTACGTATCTTTCAGACAGGAATTCTGTTTGCAGCATATTTTTCTTTAAAGGGTTTTGCATTTCTGCATAAAAAGCTTATTAATTATTTGTAACTGCTTGTCATCATATTCTGATAATAGAGGCCTGCTTAAGGATAATAACTACCACATCCCTATTTTGGGTCATATAGATAATATATATGTATATATACATATATACATACACGATTCTTGGTGCAATATTACCCAAAGCATCTCCTTTCTCCCTGTACACAGGACCAAAAGTGCAGGCACATCATTTATTGATAAGACAAAAAGAATGTAATGAAATTATCAATGTTCTTGAATTAATTATGAACATGATTAAGAAAGCTAAAATCTCAGGAGCCAGGATCTCATTACCCATTCAGTCTTAGGGATTGCTTTCATTCAGCAAGGCAAAAAGGCTTTGAGCAGTCCCACAATTGCCTTAGTCTCATTTATTTGTGGTAGTATTAAGGTTTATTTGTTTTCTGGTTTGCACTTCTTCTGAAATTATTTCTCTTAGTTTATTCATTTAACAAAATGTTCCTTCCTGTGCCACAGAAGAAAGTGCCTATAAGGCCTACATAGGTTCTTCAGTCTGCAAACCTCCCTTTGAGAACATTTCTTTCAACTCACATTGCTGGAGCTCCTAAATATCTTTCAAGGTAAGTCGGAGAATGTAGCCAAAAAAGTTCTTTCAGATTTATGTCTGCAGCTGTACTACAGTACTGTCTGATTCCCATTCAGCTCGGAGCCTTAATGACATCATTATTACGCTGTCTGAACCAGATTTAACTTGGAGCCTGCACTATATTGTTGCTTATCTTCCTTCCTTATGTGGGAGATTCAGCGTTACTTTGCTTAAAAAATAATAATGAGCAGGCGACGGTGTCGCAGGGTTTCAGATTCTAAACTTTCAAAAACTGGGGAGACCGAATCAGTGCTGGATAGATGCAAGCATGTCTCTTTTAAATTAATTTCTGAGTCTTAAGAAATTACAGTCGGGTGATGCTCTTCTGTGCACGATTGTCTGAATGAGGAGGGTGCTGCGCAGCTGCTTTATTTGCAGAGGCAAAATGCACTGTATTACTTAACAATTTTGACTTTTCCTCTTTGCAAGGCCCTTCTGAATTTTTTTGTTATCGCAGGGTTTGCCCCCGGATGAGTGTGCTGAATGATGGGGCATAATGATTAAATTCTGGCAGTAACCCTGCAGAAACAATGCACTTAACGATTTTGAAAAACGGAAATAAAATCTTGTTAGCTCAAGAAGCAGAGATCTAACAGACTATAGGCTTTTTTGGTGGTTTTTTTGTTGTTGTTGTTGTTCTTCTATTAATAGAAGTTTGATATGTCTTTTTTTTCCTCCTTTTTTAATATTGTTTCTGGTTTTTATGTTCAAAAAGAAGAGAGGAATCTGTAGCCCTATATTTGGTACAAGCTATTATCTACCAGAATAGACCAAGGACAGCAAAGAACATATTTTAGATTTAAATAACTGCTGTCTGTGACAAACGAGAAAGATTGATTCCAGTTGTTTTCTCCATAATGCTTTGATATAGTATTTTAGTGCCTTTCCTAATCTCAGTTAATAAATATAAACAAAATGCAAAGCAATTAATTTTCTCAGAGTATGTACATCACCTAAATGGGACAGTCAGGCTGAAAAAACAATGATAATGCCTTTCCTCTCTCTTGGTAACCTTGAAATGTAGGATTACATTTACAGCCTGGAACAAAAAGCATGTACAAATGCCACTGCTCCTCTGTTCCTGCAGGTCTGCAGACCTACCAAATGACAGTGCGTTTAAAGAAATAAATTTAGAGGAACTTTTGTTAAAACTGACAAGTGAAAGTCATTCATACTGCTGCCATACACATCGCATGGCAATTAGAAAATAATATTCCTCTTTTTTTTTTTTTAAGATTCAGAGATGTGGGTTCTTTAAATTTATGTCTAAATGAAAGATTTTACCCTCAATACAAATCTTTGCTGTCTACTTCAAGATTTCATATTTTATTTAAAAAATAGCTATTGAAGATAATTTGACATACTCTTAAAAACTATACTCCATCGCTCTGGGCCTGGTTTTAGCTTTCATTTTGATGACAACTTTGCAAGTGTTAAAGCCATATATGATATAAAGAGCATATATTCTATTCCTGTATCAGACAGAAGGAAAAAAAAAAAAAAAGGTTTTTCTCCCTTTAAAGACTTTTTTTGAAAAGGTACTGAATTTAAAGCTTTTTAATTTCGTCTCTTTCTGCAGAACTGAAAATATCTCTGCCTGTTTTGATATTTCTGTCCCATACCAGACTTAAAAAACAATATTCTGTAGATCCAAGAAATTGATCAAGTTACAGAGCAGTTTCCAGTTTTATCAAGACAGAGAAGTTCAGCAGCATATTTTTAGGTGTCGTCTCTCCCTTTAGCACTTGGATATTTTCTGATGCTCAAGAAAAATAGTTTGGAGGATCAAATTTATTATCAAATAAGAAATGTATAGCTACCAATAAAGGCAGGAGTAAATAAATAGATTGTCACCTGTATGATATGAACCTAGAAAATAAACCTATTTCTTTAAACTCTGTTATCATAAGAAAACACACTGTTTTGTTTTATTAATGTTGCAATATATTTCTAATACAAAATTCATGCTGATTTGGTTATCTCAAAGAGTTCACGTTTGCATAAAGCTCTGTGAAAGCACTTACTGAACTAAAATTACACAGTTTAATAGGAAATGTTTAAATCAAAGAATCAGTAGGAATGTAACCTTTTGCATTTGTGGAGAATAGTAAATCGCACTAATTAAAATAGTTCAAATGTGTAAGAGTTTTCATTTGGTCTTTGGACCTTTGTAATGAAGACAAAACCAGCAATGCTGACTTTCTGTGTGTTTATCGTATCCTAGATTTTTCGTGATTTGTGGCAGGGGAATGGATTTGGACTGAAGGTGGGGAAGTGCGTGCCCAGTTCGGGTCCTTGGGGAAGGGTTGTGGAAGGATTACAAGGTCAGGCACTAAACGAGCTCTGAGAAAATTGCTCTTTCGCACGAGAAACAAGCTGCTGGCTTACTAGAAGCTGAATTTCTTTTTTTCTTATTCAGAAGAATAGTCCAGAAATAAAGGTAATGTCTCCAAAATAAGTCACGAGGGAATCCAAGAAGTTCGAGATCCTCAAATTACGCGTGCCGATTATATGTCATTTCGATCCCATTAACTCCTGAGACACAAGGGACTGACTGTTGCGATCAATAATTTAACTCAAACTGACTTTGGAAAGAGCAGGATCAGGCCCAAGATAATTATGAAGGTGACCATTTAGTACAAACGCTGAAGTTAGTAGTGAGAGGGTGTCGTCCATGCATAATGTTTATGCACTTTTGTAATCTCTGGAAGTGCTGTGTTTATCTGGTGGGTCTCTCCTGGCCAGGAGCCGATTGACATTTCACAGCTGTGTCAAACTGAGTGCAGTAGGCTGGTTTTTTTTTTGTGTGTGTCTTTCTAAACACTAATCAAAAAGTAATGCTTAGAGACCTCTGTTATCTAATTACTGGCAAAATTAGCAAATCACCATTTAAATAAATTACATTTGCAGTGTTTTAAAACTGTATTTAAAATCCCTTCATGCCAAAAAAAAATTTACACTTGAAAATGATTTTTTATTTTAAGTTGGGAGGGAATTTCCATTGATATAAAGTAAGTGAAAACACTAAGAATTTAAATAGCTGTAGCTTGCTAAACTACTAACTGATAACATAATATTTTCATTTTACTTTTGGAAGTTCAAGAGAAGTTACAATTACATTTTCCATTGCAAAGAATAAAAACATGTTCATAAGCAAATAAAATATGAAGACTCTCTTCCAATAAGTGTTTTGCCAGAAAATTTCAGTGTATTTAGATATTGACTTTTATAAAAAAAATAAATTTTCAGACAACTTGACAGCAAGCTATTTCAGACAGACTCCTTCAAATTCTTTCTGCATAGAGTGTCCTAGTTTTGTTCAAATCTGTGTTTCCAAGAATATTTAATTTTACTGTTGAAAAGTATTGTATCTTTGCAGAGTAACAAGCTTCTAGTATCTGGGACTTTTTTTTAGGGGGGGGTGGGGGACTTAAGGCATTGTAGTGTTGCCTCCTCATCTCTGCTGCTGCTGCTGCTGCTCAGATTCAATGCGTATCACATCTAGCAGCACAGAAATAGTTTGCATTACTTCCAGAAGAAACAATTTTGCGAGGAGGTCAGCTTTGTTCTGAACGGGTTAAACAGAACTACCTGCTTTAGATTGATTTAAATCAGTAATGGATCTGCTCATAAAGCTGCTGTTACTAGATATTACACTGCTATCTTAGTCCTTTGATAGCCCCGATAAGAAGTGCTTACCACAGAGGATGCTCCTAAAGGACAGATATTGTTTCCTGTACCTCAGGGAGTAAAACGCCATACTGCTGGATCAGGAACTTTTACTAACAGCAAGTAAATTCAGGCCTTATCAAGTTACAGCACAAACTGCACTCATGTTTTATTATTCTCATTAGAGATTTAAGGACTAATTCCAGTTGTTAGCGCTTAGCAGTTTAATGTTTTCCATAGATAAGAATTAAGATTCTTCCGGGGGATTTTTTTATTTGCTAAAGCTTGCAAAATATAACATCGTAATGCACTTACTTTGATGTAATACAACTGGATTTCCTAAACGTTTTTAAGGGATAGGGTTTTAAAAATTTAAATCTAATAAATGAATTTTTCAACTCCAAAATACACTAATTTTCAATCAACTGGGGTTTTTAGAGCTAAAAGAGCCCAGATTTTGCTTTGAAAAAAGTGTGATACCAATATTGTTAGTCCTTGAGCTTTTCTGTGTATCACTAGCGCTTTCAAATAGATGCAGATCAACAAAGGTAAGTTAAGAATTTCAGCATGCAGAGAATTTTTAATTGAACCAACTTCTTACAAACCCTTCTGTACAAGCAATGAAGTTGATATGTTTGAGTCAGAAAAAGAGGAAATATGGGTTAACCGTGTTCCTTCTGAAATGACATATTCAGAGAGATAGTAAATCTTAAATTTTCCACCCATTACTTTCTCAAGAGATTCATGAAGATATGAATTGAGCGATGTGAAACAAATAATGATATATTTGCATTAGGCTCGTGAAGGTAATGATGTCAGAGGAATGAATCTGTAGTTTTGCATGATAAGGTGACTTGAAACGGGACCTGGGGCTTCAATTACCTCAGCTTTCTAAGTTTAACTTGCTTTGAGAAATCAATAGTCAGGATCTTGCAGGTGGGTTTCAGAGCTGTGGCAGCGCCACTGATCACAGCTATAGTTATGGAAAACACTTTTGCCCCCAAAACTCTGATATATCTCGTCAGCTTTTGGAAATTAAGCATTTGCTCTCCCATCACTTGTCAGTCTCCATGTCTCCAAGTCATTCTCTCAGGTCACAGACATTGTAGATACTGCAGACTCAATTAAAATGACCTTGCAGCTTAGGAAATTCAGTTTGGCTAATTAAGTCTAGTTATCTAAATAATTAATATAATTTACTATAATCCATCTGGATGCAATAATTTCTAGTCTTTACATGTTATAAAATTTATAAAATTTTGGTGTGTGTGTGTGTTGCAGTTGTTGCACTTCGTAAGGTTATGT